TTGTGTGGTGTCCATCTGTGACCCCAAGGGCTGGCTGCACCGCCTGCCAGGGGCAACCTCCAGCCCTGTCCCTTGAAGCTAATATGGAGCCAGATCTGCCACCTCCTCACAGCTGGGGCTTGGCAGAGCCTGCGGGCCTTCCCTGCCAGCTGGCTGGAAGTGAGCAGGTGGCCTGTGGGGTGTGCTAGGCACGGCACCGTCATGGGACTGCATCACATGCTGGCTTCCTGAGGGGAGAACCCACCCCACACCGGGAGGAGCTGGCAGGGGAAGGTGGGTGAGCCTGGAGCTGTCACTGCACCTTGGGGCCAGGGCCCTACCATGGGGTTCCTGCCTCTGTTCCTCCTTCCTTCCCCCACGGTCAGCCAGGCTGCTGCATCATCAGGCATTCCCATGCCCTACTGCTGTCAGTGCTTCTCCATCCTCTCACATGCTTTTAGGGCCTGCAAGGCTTTGCTTGTTTTATAGGTTACAGGGCCATTGCCCAAGACTTAAATCCAGCTGGGGGCCAGTGGTGCGCACTTGCTCTGCTAGGGATGCACCTGCTTCCACTGGGCCCGGGGCTGTCTGAGTGTCTTTGAATGGAGCTGAGGGAGGGGATGACATTCGGATGTTACTGAGGACAATACCCATCTCCAGCTGGTACCTGCAGGCTGGGACAGAATGCCCCTGTGAACAGGAGGTGTAGGCTGGGTTTTGTTCAGTAAGCCCAGGGTGCGGGTAGATTCTTCATCACTAAAGCCTGTACAACAGCAGCAGCAGTCCTGCCATGGCTGTGGCTTGTGATTCTGGCTCTTGTTTTGCCTTTGTCAGATTCCAAAGCCCCCAGGTGCCCAGGGAAACTTGCTGGGTTCCAGCGCTGCGTCCTGGTGCCAGGGTCCCCCGCGAGCAGCCCAGCCCTGACTGATTCACCAGCTGGCCAAACCTTCCAGAGGCTTTAACTGGCAGCCCCACCCAGGCTGATGAACCAGCTGGTCACTGTTAAGGCTTCCTGATTGGAGATGTTACAAGCTCCAGCAACCATTTAAATGCTCCTATTGGCAGCAGGCTGCAATCCAGCCAGTGGTTTTCCTTGCAGGTCTCTGGGAAGCCTCACTGGATCTTGTGCTCTCTTGGTGTCTGATCCTGCTCAGAAGCAGAGCCAGGTTCTGGCTTTTGGGAACTTGGCTTGGCTTTAATAGCTTGGTCCCTGACTCCAGAACCTTGTTTTGGCCTCTGGAATTGTCCTGTGGATTTGGTAACTCAAACTTCAGCTCTTTCCTTCCTGCTGTGGGGCTCTTGGTCCTCTAAGTCCTGTCTCTAGCCCTCCCCTTGTGGCCTACTCGCTAGGTCAGACTGCCTATGCTGGGGTTCTTACAGCAGGACTCCCTAGCCTGTGAGCTGTCCCTTTCCCAGCTGTTCCCATCAGAGGTGGAGTTCCCTTTCGAAGCCTGCTGCTTGTGTGAATGTAAGGGCCCTTGGGGTTTCTCATCTCACAGACCCACCCTTGACAAGGCTGATTTGGATGCATCCTCACCCAGCCCATCCTTGCACTCACAACCTCATGGGATCTGCTGTGGTACCTTTTGGCTGCATAGATCCTGTCCTGCCTCTATCCCTCTCTCTGACTCTAGAGCCAAGCAGGCCTTGAAACACAGCTCTCCTAGTGCCCCATCCCCAACCTCTAGGAGCACAGTGCTCTGAACTCTTCTTGCCCTGCTGACCCTGCTCCAGCCCCCAGCAGGCTGTCCCTTTCCCAGCCACTTCCCTCCCACAGCTTGTGGTACATAGAGCATGGTGGGTGTTACTGGCTCTAGAACAGTTGTTTTCAGTCTGTGGTCTGCAGACCCCTGGAGGTCTGCAGACTATGTCTAAGGGGTCCACAAAAGATGACTATGATCAACCAAAAGTATGTGAATACCCACACTTACCTTTCAAAGGGGTCTGCAGCTCCACTCAAAATTTCCAAACGGATCTGTGTCTCCATTTGAAATTTTTAGGGGGTCCATAAATGAAAAAGGTAGGAAATCGGTGCTCTAGATGTTAACTTGGACAAGAGTCTGAGTGATGACAGAGCTGGTGGAGAGTCCAGGAGTCTGCTGAGCTCAGACTTGTGGGGTGAGTGAAGGGTGTAATTGGTCACTGTCTGATCCTCCCATCTGATTGGTTAACGTATGCAAAGGGCTTTGAAGCTCAGAAGCATTTATTTTATTGCTTTGGCTCCATGTCCCACAGCAGATGTTTATAGGCTTACCTGGAGTCTTGGTCACTCCATGTGATACCGCCAGGCCCTTTAGAAGCTCATCCATGGTCAGGGCCAGGCAGAAGGGCCGTATGTCTGGAGTGAAACCTGGAGAGCCTTGGTGATCACTGCTGGGGTGGCAGTTGCTTGGAAGGGGCTCTGCTGGAGCAGAACAGGAACCTCCCTCTCTGGGCAGCAGCTTTTGCAAGCAGGTGCTGGGGCTGTCCTGGTGAGACAGCTGTCCATGCACCGGTCCCCACATGGCACCCCCCACATCCAATTGTTCTCAGCAGACACAGAGAGGAAAGGTGATACCTGGGTAGAAGGAATGGAACACCCTCTGCCATCTGTCAGCAATGGCATCAGAGGTGTCTTGTGCCCTGCACCTCCCTCTTGGCAGGGCAGGGAGCCCTGTAGAACTCCCATGAGCCTGTCATGGCTTTGAGACATTGGGTCCATGCCATGAGTGGAGACTGGTGGGGAGGGAGGGGGAGGGTGGGGCTCTTGGAGATTATATGTATTCCCGAGGGATGCATCTAAATCCTAAAACGCTAAAAATAGCCCATCCAGGGATTCATTTGGCAAGAGCTCAGCAGAAACCAGAACGATTCTAGGAAGATGCTCCAGCAGGTCCTTGCTCCGCCCTATACAAGGAGCTGCAGCTGGGCCTGGGGATGGATCCCAGTGAAGCCAGAGAGCTCCCTTCAAGTCTGCATGCCAGCCAGGGCAGAACAAGGAAGAGGAGTCCAGGCTCCTGACACTGCTGGAGGGAGCTGCACAACAGTTAGGTCCCAGCTGGAAGAACGGAATGGCTACAGAGGAGGCCGCCACACGTGGAGACTTCTCTGGCTTGGCAAGGCAGGAGCAGGTTTGCCCAATGACCCTGGCTTCATGGGTGGCACTTGCTTGGGCAGGGAAACACCTGATGCTCCCAGTCTAGTGCCTTTTGTTGTGAGCACAGCTGTACTGAAGAGCAGGAGGAGATTGCTAGTACAGATGAGATGGCATCTTGAGGTTCCTGGGCAGTGGCTGTATTGGCTGCTTCTCTCTGACAGGCATCCTTAAGCACAAGCCATCTCCAGGGATCTCCAAAATGAGCATGGATGCAATGGCTGGACTCTAGTTCTGATGACCAAGGACAGGTGGTTGCCAGGTCCCTTGTTCCCTGACGCTGCATGGTTGGAAGCTGTCTCTGCCTGGTGAGAACGTACCGCTGGTGTAAAGGTCCTCCTTGGCCCCAGGCTATTGCTCCTTGTACGGGAACAGCCTCTTGTGAGACGGCAGATAAATCCCGCTCTTCGTTTACATTGTTACCTTGAAGGTATTTATAGACTCGGCTCATCTCCCTCACTGGTCTTCTTCCTTGACAGTATATTTAGCTCCTTCATTTTCTTTCCTCGTGTACCGCCTTCTCTTGCTCACTGGAGCATTCTACTGCTACTATCTCTTGTTCATCCTGGATCCGGATGTGCTTGTTTCCAGCTGGGTCAGCTCAGGGTGATGGAGGGCAGGCATCACTCCTCCCCAACTCTTGGGTGTACTTCAGCTCACCCCTGCTAGTGGCTTGTTGCTGTGTCACTGCTTTTCCTGTGGATTCGGCATGGACCCTCTCTGTTCTTTTTGCTGTCTGGCCAATTCTGATGAGGAGATGGGAGCCAGCTGTCTCTGGGGGGAGGGGAGCTGGCTGGATGGCTCTGGGTCCACCATGCCCAGAGGGGAGCAGTCATCACCACTGTTGCCCCAATCACAACGGTCACACACAACCCTTCTAAGAGTGTGCTAGCCGAGGCCTCAGTTCTGCTTGTTTTCCCAATTGCCAGAGCAGTTGAGACTCATTCCCTCATGCATGCAGCTCTCTAGGACAGTGAGCCCCTCGGGCCATGTGATGGTGACTAATGTGCTACACAATGGCTGTGAATGCCAGCAGAGCCCTTGAAGTGCCTGCTGGTTCCCCGCACAATGCCCTTTCTTCTGGGCATCCTTCCACTTCGTATCTTGCTCCTCAGAGGTAGCACTGACTCTCTGCTGCCGTTGGAATGTGTTCAGGAGCTGGCTGTGGTCCCCAGAGCCTTCCAAGAGTAGTGGCCATCCCTGTGTGGTTAGCCCCCACCAGGGTAGCTGTGGCAGAGCAGGTGGCAGGAAGGGCAGTGTTGCTGGGAGCTGGGGAGCATGAGCTTCTGCAATGGCAGCTTTGTGTGGCTAAATGGTCCCTGGCTGTGGATAGCTCTGAAGGTCGGGAGTCTCTGGTCTGTCAATGCAAAATGATGGGGACTGTGGTGTGGGCAGTATGTGTTACTCCCGAGGCAGCAAGGCTGTTGGTGTGAGGGGAGGTGGGGCGTCGAAAGCTTCTCCCTGCCCTCTTGCCCTGACCTGCCTTAGTTTGTCAGCCTGTCCCCTTGTTCTGTGCTCGCTCAGGGCCTGCAGAAGAACAAGAAGCCTTGTGAAGCATGTTCAACTACTATGGTGATGCACCTGGCACTGCCCCAGGGTCTTAGTGCAAGTGGCACTATTCTTCCCCACTCCCCAGCCCTTCCACCTCTCCTTGTGGCATCCCCAGACTTGGGTAGCTCAGGAGCTTGGCAGTGAGATTGGCTGGAGGAGCCATGATTTCCAGTAAGTTCAGGCAAAGCCATTCTGCAGGATCCTGTAGCTCTAGGAGCATGAACCCAAGCAGACAGTTCACACCTCAGTGCAGGTGACTGAGCCTACAGAAGGATTCTGGCTGGCAGGTGGACCCGTCGTAGAGCAGTTGTCCTCAATGGGCTGTGGCTGGAGAGGCTGCTGGGTCACAGGGTGCGGTAAGAACTGCTGCTTTTGGGTGGCTTGAGGCTGTGGAACGTCAGCAGTGGCCATGGCCTTGCCATGCTCTGACTCTGCCTTTCCCTCTCATTGTAGGTCCCAGTGGCAGTGGCCACATGCAAGTCCTGATGCTCAGCTCTCAAAAGTGACACTGGAATCGGGGGAGGAATGGAGAAGTCTGTCCCTCCTCCCACAGAGCAGCTGACAACGCACCTGGGTGATGGAGGAAGGGCCATGTTGATGACCTCAGAGCCCAGCAAAGAGAGCTTTACTGCCCAAGAGTGCCCCCAAGGGGACAAGCAAAGAGCCACATTTATCGACAATGCGAGAACGCCTCTGGAGAGCACAGCTCTATCTGGGCTATCTGGGGAAGGCAGGACTGAGCTCCAGAAGCCTGCCTTCTATGCCCCAGAGAGCCGGCTGGTCATGAGCCAGGACACAAAGGGGCCTGCTGGCACCGATAGATGCAGCCTGCAAGACGACCCAGACTACTTCTCACCCCTGTCCCGCCAGGAACCTGACGTCGCTCTGGAAGCACGCGAGGTGGCAGGTATGTTTTGTGCGGGACAGGCTGGACAGTGCACAGGGCCTCCTCCCAGGCAGTGGGGAGGGAGGCTTGAAGCCTCTGTGGCAGCGATGGTCAGGTGTTGTTTAAAGATGAGCACAGTGTGAGGTTGAATTGCAGCGTGCCCCTGGCTCTGCAGGTGTCTTGGTGTCACCTGGGGTCTGCACAGGGGATGGACAAGGGGGGTGCTGTTTGGAGCCTCGCAGGGTGTGGCAAAGCTTGTGTTGGGGTTGCTTTGCTTTGCTTTGCCGCATGGGGACAGTTGTCGCTTGGTGCCTGCTGGGTCCTGGTGCTCTGACAGCATCCATGGGAGAGGATGGTCAGATGCTTGGCTGATCTGGGCTGGGGAGAGAGAGGGACTCTGCAGCCATCAGAGAGGAATGGAGTGAGGGAGGGGCTTCATGTTCATCGGCACTTCTGCCAACCTGAAAATGAGCAAGATCTGGGGCAGGGCCCTTTTCTTCCCCCCGCCCCCCACTGTCTTTCCCAGCAGTGATGATGGGGTGGTCTAGGCCTCTCCTCCTCTGGGGCCTTGGCCCTGCTCCCTGCTGATGTGGAGGAAGAGGCAGGAACCTCTTTTGTTGTTCCTTTCAGCCCCTGACTACGAGGGGCCCGATAACTTGACTCCAGACCCATTTGGTCACAGTCCTCCTAGCCAAACCTGTCCCCCAAGGCACCTAGTGGTACAAGCTCTGTTCCACCAGCAGCTGCTTATGGCATTGCATTGGTTGCTGTGGGTGAAGGGGAGCTGCTCTCCTGCAGCCGCTTTGCTTTTCCACTCCTGGCGATCCTGGACGGGGCTTTTCCCAGGGTGTGGGGAGTGCTGGCAGGCAGCATCAAGGGCTGGACTGGGATGGCCCTGGGTTCCTTCCCTTCGCTGAGGTCTTTCCCCATTGAGAGTTTGGGAGAAGGGAAGAGCAGTTGCAGAATGACTGTTCTGGCTTGACAAAGCCAAGATGCTGGGCACAACTGGAATAGAGTCCTGGGAGTGTGCTCACTTTGGGCTTCTAGTAGCGGGTAATTATCTCAACATTCAGCACTACAGACAGGGATGTCAGACCTGCTGAAGCTCCACGCACCCCTAGCAATCTGCCTGCTAGAGTCCTTGCTCAGAGCTGCTGCTGGTCCCAGCTGGGTCCTGGGGCTCCATCAGCATTTGGTGACTCTGGGGACTCTTGAGTGGATGCCATGTTACACGTGTTAGTCTTAGTTCAGCTGTTCTGTGGAGTGCTGTGTGTCAGCTCATGGTACAGTCCTGTGCTGGGCTGCGTGACCTCACTGGTCTCATGTGGCTCAGGGGATCTTTGCTGTAGAATTCAGCATGGCTGCCTCCTTCCCTGACGTGCAGCTCATGGGCTCGGCATGGCCTGTTGCTGGGGGAAGCCATACTCTGGGTGCCACTCTCTGTGCAGTGTTTCCTCTCCTCCAGCTGTTTCCCTGTGAAGAACTGAGTAAAGCAGATCCGTCCCTGGGAAAGGAGGTAGCTAATGATCTGACTGTCCTGGGTGTGTTACCCCTCCTTGCCCTGGGTTCCTGGCTGGGGGTGTGTTGTTTTTTTTTTTTTTTTCATTTTGGGGGTTTTTTTTCCCTCTGGTACTGGCAGCCAGAGAAAAGGGTGCCATGCATGAACCCATGTCTAGTGCATGAGAGCTCTTGGTGCTCTGCTGGGTTGTGGATATATGGTGTGCCCTTGTGCAGAGAGTGGGGGAGGGCAAGTGCCTGGTGTAGGGGGATGTATGGTGCCTGCTATTGTGGTCAGGGCAGGATTCAGTGATCCATGAGGCCCCTTCCCACATGGCATTTTCTCCAATTTCCAGGTGCCAGGGTGGTAGCTCCCCTCTCATCTGCACTCTTGTCCCTATGCCTGCCCTTGCGCCAGCCCATCCCACTCGCTCTTGAAGGCTCTGTCCCGTTATCTTCCTCTACAGCTCATTCCCACATCTGCTCCTGACTCTTCAAAGCTGGTCCACCCAAGCTCCCTTGTTAATGTCCAGCTCATTAGTGCTGATGTTGCTCTCATCTTTAACAGCTTATCAGGGAATCTCTGCAAGGAGATGAAATCCAATGTTGTAGCCTTTTGGGCCTAGTCATCCACAGTGGGGTGGGGTGGTGGGGGTAGGATCTCACCCTTTTGAGGGCTCAGATCTCATGTAATCTGTGTTTCCCTCTGCTGCAGCAGTGTTCCTCTGCCAGCCTTTTTGCACCCCTGTGCCTTTGGGGGTCACAGACAGCCTGGACACAGTGGGCATCCAGAGCTTTGTTTTCAGCCAGGAGGGGTCTGGAATGGACACTCAAGAGCTTTTTGCACTGACTGGCTTCCTGTCTGGTCCTTGTCAGCAATGTTCTGGGCACCAGGTGGGTTTACAGACAACATGGACAAGTGTGACACTAGCCCAGGAGACTCTGCCCCTGATCCCAGTTGGTCACACACTGGGAGCCTACATCCAGTGCTACCACAGCAGGGGAATGGGTGATGCCATGCCTTGCAATCCGACTATCTTTTCCTTCCAGGTGAGGGTCAGGGACAGGGTCTGGTCTGGTCAGGTCAGGACGGCTCTGTTTGTCTTTTAACATCTCTTAGCTGAGGGTAGGCCCTCAAGGGCCAGACAAGCAGGTGCCAGATCCAGTCACAGTTGGTGTCTTGTCTTGATCCTTATTTTTAAAGGCTCCATCTTTGAGGCCCAGCTGGACAGGGAGGCTGGACACAGCCCTTCCCAGCATGCCTGGGAGTGGCACACTCATGTCTCAACTTGCCTGCAAGCTGGCGACATGGTGGGATTCCCTTCAGGCCATGCTCAGCTCTGGGAAGAGGGCTGCTCCTGTCCTCTGCTGTCATTGAGTTTGTTCATGGGGGATGGGGGACTGTGGTGCTAATGGGTCCCCCTTTCCTTTCCTTTCTGGTGCCTTCATCTCCAGCGTCCCCTTGATATGGGTGCCACTGACTGGGTGCTTTGATGAAAATGCCCAGAGAGGATGCTCTGGTGTGTGGTTAAGTCCTTGGCTCCCTGCATTTCAGCAGTGGCTTCCCTGGTGTGTGGTTTGGTCCTGTGCCGTAGTTCCATGTGGTCAGCACCGGCATCCACGCGCTATTGCCTCTTTCCGATTCCGCCCGCTTTGTACATGAAGTCCATCCTGCCTGGCATTGAGCACTGCGGCTAATCTGGGCATGAGCAGCACTCACAGCTGGTCTGTGCTGAACCATCCACTCTTACTTCCCAGCCCAGACCTCTGCCAGCTTGCTTACCTTACGATTCAGATTGTGGTAGTACTCAAGGGCTTCAGGCCTGTGGCAGGACCCCTGTACTAGGTGCTGCACAAAGTCCCTGCATCAGGGAGGTAATTGAAACTGCTGGCTTCAGACACCTTGTCTTCAAAACAGTGTGGTCCCTGGAGCCAGGACAGCTCAGCCTGACCCATTCCCACTGAGGAATCCCTTGTAAGCATAACTTAAATGCAGCCCTTGTTGTGTGTGGGCACTGGGTGGAGATGGAGATGGAAGGCACTGCCTATGTACAGTTCCAGCAGGGTGTCCAGTTATGGGCTTGTCACCATGTGGCTTGGCCTCAGTCATGTCTCCCTGCTCTATGGCAGCCCTGCAGTGTGTCCATTCCAGACCTGAGGTGCAAGGAAGGGCAGGACCATGGGTGCTTCTCTCTGCAGGGTTGCTTGTACCTTCCAGCCTTGTCTTTGTTTCAGGAGGTTATGGACCCTCCCCATCCTGCCCCCTCAAATGCATCAGATGCCGTGGGGAGGTTGAGGGGAGAGAAGGCAGGGCACAGTGTTTTTGGCCACCAAATCCTGATGTTGTTGGACAAAGCCAAGATTTGTCATCTGCTCAGAACAAAGGGCCTCAGTCTTGAAGGCTCTTGGTTCCATTGAGGTTTGAGCCGAGCACCCTTTGGCTTTAGCAGGAGTTGAGTGCACTCAGTGCTGGATGCAGTCAGGTGCTTCTGGATAAAGGGGGCTTTTATCCAGAAGCACCTGACTCATTCAGGATGGAAAATTCAGGGCAGGGCATGTTTTTGGGACTCTCCCTGGCCCTGACCCTTATCAACACGAGATCTGGCCCTACCTCACGGTAAAGATTCAGCAGACCATTGCTACCTGGTCTCTTGTGCTGGTTTGGTCTCTGTCTCAGGTTACTTGCAGTATTAATGCCCTCCTGTTAAGCTAGTAGGTTGCAGCATTGTCTAAAAGGCCATCACCGCTGCTCAATTTCCAGCTTCAGCTGTAGCTACTCATGAAAGCTTGTTCTCCCCAGTGCAGCTGTGCCTGTCTGAGCAGCACAGCGTGTGTTTGGTTGGAGCAGGCGTTTCACTGCTTGAACACCTGGAGCAGGGTGGTTCTGTTGAGCCCAGGATGCCCTCCACACTGTGCTTGTCCTGAGCAGGTGGAGATAGGGGGAGTGCCAAAGGTGGCACTCAGAGGATGAAGAAACAAGCATGTTTAAAAAAGGGCTGGACTTACCACAGAGCAGCTGACATGTAATTGTCTGTCTGCTCTTACTCTGTGGTAATAACATGCAGTGATTTATTCCCCACTGAAATGGAATGAAGCTGTCTCCATTTAGCGTTTACTGCCCGTAGGGTAAGAGTGGGCAGAAGACCAGTTACCTAAGGTCAGCTGCTCTGTAGGAAGTCCCTGTCTTCTTTTAATGCACTGTAATTCACTTGTCCATGTCAGTGACACTCAACTGGGGTGCCATGAGATCCTTTGAAGGTTGCCGCACAGTATTAGTACTGTCAGATGTGCAAACACCCACACCATTCACAAGATAAATTTACAGATTTCAAATTAGTTTTGACACAATGGATTCCTTTCTGGCCTGTTGTCGTTTGTCCAAGTTCTTTGCCATAGAAGAATTGCTCTACTTTTCCGCAGTTGAGAAACGAGTGAAAGCTGAGAGTTAGCATTTTCTGAGTCTCAAAGTGTTGAGACCTACTGGACCATGCTCTTAGTCTCTGACATCCTTTGCAATGCTTTGG